ACATAGACTACTAAAGATGTAGTTCAGTGAAGACTTTAAACTGGCATAAACCAACCTTGTTGATAAAGGAAGTCATCTTTCCCTGTCTCCCATTTCCACTCCCATGTGGCCACTTTTCATGAGCCAGTTACATGGTGAATGGCATTGATAAAGTGATCTCCCTGAACAGAATATGAGAGAGAGTCAAAAACCAGAAATTTGACTATTTAAAGCAACATGAGTATGAGGAGAAGAAGTGAAAGAATTAGTTCCTTTGTCCAGCTCCAGCTGTATACTAAGGTAAGATCCATCTACATTAGCATTTTGGTTTGAATCAGAAGCATGACTCCAAGGTGTACCTCCCAACTCTCTAGTTGCTACACTTTGGTTCGCATACTGAAGTGTTCTTGGGATACAAATTGGATTGCTGTCAAGTGAAATTAAACCAGAAGATATGCCCCAACTGTTCAGGGCATTCAGTCCTTGGAACTGGAGCTATTCTGAAGGAAAACCCCAGCACAGGTATCAGGGTCTCAGATCCAACTTTTTGGTTTATAGGTATGCAATTATTCGGCCACACTGCTTGCCAGAGCAATCAGTTCTGCTGTCAAAAGCTAACTGTCCAACTTCATCCAACTTTCAACAATCCAACTTCCTCTCAGAAATGTATTTGAGAGAGTAAATGAAGTAGGGGCAAAGAGGATGAAATATTTTTCCTTTTATTCCATAGCAATGGAACTGCAAATTAATGTAATTTGAAGGGCAGAGACTGCTACAAGAAGGCTCAGAGATCATTCAAGGGAATGATAAAGGGAAAAAATATGAAATGTGTACTGGGTGGATGAACTAATGAATCCTGATAAGAATCCACTTGTTTAATGCTGTCTTATTTCTTATTTTTAAAATGCATTTAAAAAATCCAGACTACAGTTGTCTTGCTAAATCATGCATTTCTTTAAATGACAACTCCTTCCTGTCTTTTGTCTCCCTTCCTTTAATCTTCTCCTTTAAAACATTTTTTTTTTCTACTGTAGAAAATGTAGTCAAGAGCACGGATGAATGAACAGGAATATCAGGCTTGTTTTGATATACACTACAAATTTGGCAACACACAAATTATTTCTTTGCAAGCAAAGACAGTGAACAGAGAAAAAACATCTCTCATCCAAGAACTAATGAAAACTTAGGGACTGAGGTATCCAGTTCTGTGTAAAGACAGAAGATTTATTTTTAACTCTTCTGAAAATTGCTATTTGATGGGTTTTATTCTAATTGAAACAAAAACATGTCAGATGCTTCCTCTTCTTGAAGTCTTGGTCCAAAATTACTCCAGCTTCATCACCAAAAATATAGATACTCTAGATATAGAGAAGTCAGATGCTTCCTCTTCTTGAAGTCTTGATCCAAAATTACTCCAGCTTCATCACCAGAAATATAGATACTCTAGATATAGAGAAAGCTCTCACCAAGAACATTAAAGCAAGAAAATAACAGTGACCAAGCACAACCTGTTTTCTGAGATGGACACCAAAGGATGAAGGCATGTGAGACCAAAGGGAGGTAGTCACAGAAAACTGTACTTTAGAGTATAGGAAAAGGTGTATACCCTGACTGAGAAACACATTGTCATGACCAACTTAATGATCAAGCATCAAGGAATGGGCTATCTGTACAGCCTATGAAAAAAGCCAATCTCCTTACTGTGTTCTTGAGAGAGAGGAGAAAGGGTGAAACCAATGCAAATAAATCATAAATAGACCAATGGTTTTGGCTGAACTAAACTATGCCTTGGTATTAATGTTGCTATTTGCCATCTCCCAGTTCTCAGGAGCTTTGTCTCAGATACCTGTACAGGGCCACTGTTCAGAGGCTTACTGTCCAGTGAGAGAAACTCTGCCAGCACTGAGATGGTACTAATGGTGAGTGATCATCCATAATGATTTGGATTGTTTCAGTTGCAAACTTTAGCCACCCTTAGCTCCAAGTTAATTCTCTCCTTTACCAATTCTCTCTAATCCTCCTCCTCACAAGGAAGCACAAAGCTTGTGCTGCTGGTGACTGAAAAGCAATTGGATGCTATAAAACCCAGTGTCAGTGCTGAATTGTAAGCTTGTTGCCATTCCATTTTCCTTCAACTTCCTTGTCTTTTATTTGAAGTTGCAAAAATAGAGTTTTGGAGTCTTTGGTCCCACTGGGCCAGTTTCAGTTAATTTCAATTTAACTGTAGACTGTGTTTTAAGGAAAGCCAATATTCTCCCTTTTTGCACATTTAATGAATATCCAACTTCTATTTGTACTTTCCATTGAGCAAGTAATTATGAGTTTAATGTATAATCCTTCTACAGGTAATAAAACTCAGAGAGGAGCATGGAAATGCCATTCAGAATGCAGCCCTGCTTCCTGCAGATTGTACCATGTGTGATGACAAAGAAGACATACTAGCTAGTTTGCAAAATTTGCAAACATTAGGCTGTAGCATTGTGTAGAAAACCAAGTACACATGAAATTGTTCATGTTACAGATAACACAGTGTGCCCAAACACACAAGGGCTACAACACTACAAATACCTGTGTTTTCAGAATTGATGTGATCTTATGTGATTCCTTAGCTACTACTACACAAGTTTGATATGAATTGCAGTTTCAGCTGTCCCCAGTTGAAACACACTGGACTAGCCTGAGTCAATCCAACCACAAAGCCTTTTTCAGAGTCAAACATCTGCTGAACACAGGTTTGGTCTTGTGCTCAGTACAAGAAATAACACTGCAACTTTGGTCTGTGAAAGACAAAAAATTATTAATTTTAAAAGCTCCTGTTTATTCAGTGTTTGTTTTTAAAAAACACTAACTGCCCAGAAAATGAGACTAGTAAGGATTGGTTTCCTGTAGTTACTGGCTCATTGAGTCTTTTCCTGAATCTGGGGCATTCATAATGCTGCTTTATTATATGGATATTCTGGTATTTAAAATGAATTGAGATCAAGCCACAGTCCTTTCCTCTGGGGCGCTGAAACACTGCCCTTCTCCCTTGTTTGTTTGGATTTTTTCCATAGTCATGTAGGATCTTTACTTTTCTTGATTTTTGCCTTTTTTTAAAAATTCAGCTAAAATATCATTTTTAAAGAAATGCCGAAAAATAAAGGAGAAACCTACGCACACACACAAAGTATGATCCCATAAGCCTTATGTTCACAGAGATTGGCTGAAGACTTCATCATCTACAAACAGACAGAAACTGAAATACATGCACGGAAAGGAAAAGATGTCTGGAAGATAAAGTTGCCCTTTTTCCTCGGAGTACAACTGCATATATACTCAATACTAGCCCAGAACATAAGATTAATGCTGATTCCATAAACCCATACATCTTCTAATGAAAACACAGAACTATCTTTAGAGAAAGCAGAAGCAGAGGGTACTGAGGCAGTCTCTGAGTGTGATTTATTTTCTCTTTTTAAGAAAAAAATAATTTCTAAAGCACTGAGCTGAATATTTTGTTTCTTTACACCAGGGAAGTGGTATAATAAAACTGCAAGTAATATAAGAAGAAAATTTATTCATAGGCTCTTTAGTGACTGTAATTGACTGCCAACTGGATTGGAGGTATTTTACAAAATAATTGATGCAAGGAGCAGAACAAAGATCCTCACTTGGGCCTATCCTAGCTCACATTCCTCTCTAACCAATGGATAGCAGAGCTAGAATCTAGCTCAGCATGTCTGTCATGGTATTCTTCAAAAATATTTTTTTTCACAGAAAGAAGGTTAATTATGAAAATGTATCCTTTTGCATAAACCTCATTGAAACACTGACAAAGGGCCATGCTGAATATATGGTAGAGAGCACCTTAGCACAGATCACACGTTAAAAACTTCCCTCTGCACTTTCTGAGGGAGTGGAAAAGATTAAATCATCCCCTTGGAGTAATTTATTAGTGCGATATCACATAAATTAGTATATAACCTCAAATTAGGCTATTTCCCATCATTTAACTTTATTTTGAACAACTCCTACACAACTCACAAGAATGCTTCCTTCTGGCCTGAGTTAGTTAAGCGCGACCTAGAAAGGAAGAATTTAAAGTTGCTAAGACTTAATATTGGAAACCAACAAGTTCATGGCTTGATCTTAGGCAACAACATGTGAATAAGAAGAATCTGGTTACCATTGGAACTCTTTCCTTGTACTCATCCTGCGTTTTGTAACCTTACACATCATCATACCTCAGCTATCTTATGTACTGTCAGCATCACGTACAACAATCAGGTTTTTGCTTGGGAGTGAGTTTGACCTTTTAGCACTGTGACATAAATTATCACAAGGTTGTGATTTGCCAATGGTGGGATAATAGATGTAACAGTGTCTCAAGGGCCAGTTGTTCACTATTTCTGGTGGATTTAGGGTGGTAGTTTCCAAAGAGATGCTGAATTGTTTCACTGCATTTTTGACCTGAAATCAACTAAGAGTTGTCAGTTTTGGTCAGATGGTGTGCCAGCCTTTATATCTGCAAACCTAAAAGGGAAAGTGAAATTCAGATGATGAAAAATTATGAGGCAAGCATAAGGTCTGCTCAAATTCTTGCTTAGTCTTTCAGATTCCTTACATTTCAACTCTATATCTATATAGACAGCATCTGTGGTATGGCTAGAGTCACCTCTCCTTTTCATAAGGTTTGTCTGAAACCTTTCTCCCTTAAATATTTAGAAAATATCACAAGTAGCAAAACCAAGTTTGTTGTTGAATGAGTTTGTAATTCTCTGCAGAACCAGGATTCACTCACTTAAGAGACCTCTGAAATAGCAGGATCTATGTGCATCATACCACGCAGTTAGATACTTATTCTTCCAGTGTAAAGGACCATTAGTTTGTTTTCCAAGAGACAGAATATGCACCACCAGGCTGGTCAGTTTATTTTCAAGATGAAGTAACAAAGATTTATATAGCAACCAGTTGTTATTACCCATTAGCTTAAAAGTACAGACACACTGAAAGAGAAAAATGAAAAGAAAACAGGTCCATACCTGTGGGGTAGTGTTCATTCACTGGCCAGCTGTCAACCTGAAGTGTGGCGTTCCCACCATTCCTGGTAAAGCGTACTACATGGTATTTGCCATCATTTACAGGTGTGCTTTCCTCTTTAATAGAGATGTCCACTGTGCCAATATTGAAGACTACACCAATCTTGCCTTGCTCCTAAAATAAAAGAGAAAAGAAACACGTTTTTAAACTGCTGCCAATAGGAGAATATTCTTGGCCAATAAATCTCTGATGGGTAATTGTGCCGGTAGATGGCACTGAAGAATACACAGAAGCATCGTTTTGAGCTTTGTCAGGACACATTTCATTGGCTCTGCTTCAATACTAACAGTGTCTTTCACACTCTTCTTTACAGCATTCACCTGAAGAGAGTGACTCATTTGTTCCCGTAAAACATCACAGAAGACAGGTGAGAAATCATGCAACAAAAATCAGGAGTTGTGGATAAATAGTTATTTGAGAAACATCTCTAGTGATTATTACCAGTCACTTGTTATCTGAAATGCAGCCACAGGCAGGCTGTATCCCAACAATTGTTTTGTTCTGTTATTCTGCTTGGGAAACAAACAGCCCTCACCCTAAAACAAATAACTGTGGGATCCAGCAGGAAGAATGCAGTTACAAGACGGATGAAATTTAGAAGGGAGCAAAAATGTAATTAGCTGACTTTGACAACCTGAGGGAGGCTAGTTGCTACAATACCTAAAAGACAGGAGCAGCCACTCTTTTACTCCAGCTCTCTTCACACCCACCTTGGGCAGAGCTCCCTGTGACTCTTTTGCAGAAGCACAACTTCTGATACTCTTACTTGGACTGACTAGGACCTTGTCATGAAAATGGTTTTGTTCCAATTACCAAGATAAATCAGAATATAAGACAATATGCTACAAATGTAGGGCTATTTAAGCACAGACTTCAAGATATAGTTTATTCATGATATTTTATATCTCCAGGGCACCAGACATCATGAAAAAAACCCCCAACAATTAGTTTATGCATTCCTGGCAGGAGCAAAAAGAAAAACCCAAAAAGCAAAGCACAAAGAAAATCCTACAGCAAAGAGCAATGACCAGGGACACAGGGGTAAATCTGGGATTTATTTTCAACATCTCTTCAATTCCAGTTTCCTATACTATAATACCTCATTAAAGCATCTTTTACCAAGACCTACCTTCCTTCTAAATCTGAAAGTCAAACTTTGCCGCTAAACTTTAACACTTCATGATGGACATGACCTTTCATTTCTTTCCTCACACACATTCAGCTAGTGGATTTTCTTTCCTTGTTACCAAAGTATTAACTAGACCAGTAAGTATGTGACAAAGATTTACCTTTGAGGAGTTATCTTTAAAGTTATAGAAAATAAATCCTAACCATACAGCAGGGAAAAAGGTGAATACAGAGCCAGACAGAGCACGCAAATGACATTGTCCAAAAGGGCTCAAAAGAATTTTAACAGGTAGTGTGAACTTTTCCCTCTCCATAGTGGTATTTGCTGGGGTGCCCCAAACACTTTCCCTGAAAAGATTACCATTAACTAATGTATTTGAAACTTCCAAGTGACATCAAGTGCTGGCACTATATCTTGGAAAACTGAGAGCCATTTTATTTATAAATAATGATGTGAACTCAGGATTCAATCTATATTTTACTTTTCCTCTTCTTTATTTAATGCTACTATGCCAAAAAGGAATTTTAGAGTTCCATAGGAATTTGTCTTGCACTGATTTGTCCCAAAAATTGCTGTCCTCAAAAGCCACATTGCCATTTCATTGCTTACAGTCCTTCTGGAGATAAACTGCTGCCATGATGTCTCTAAGACTTCAGAAAAATAATTCTGATCACATAATAGAATGGTTGCATATAAGAAAAAAAAACCAAAGTACTAAAAAAAAATTGCACAAGGCTCCCCTTCATCTCTCTGTTCTACACAGGCTCTGGCAACAGTTTGTTATATGCACTGTTACCAAACATTTTGAATATTATTAAATGATACAGGAGCTAATCTACAGCCTGGAGATCTACAATTTACTGCTTGCCCTTAAGCATAATTTCACTTTGAGCAACCTTTTCTTTCACCTTTTCATAAAACAGATTCTTCATCTGTGACAGAGGAGTGATAGTCACCTATCTTTCCAAGCTCTACAAGCCCTGTAAATCCAGCTATATTTTACTTAAACATTGGTGATACCCTGACAATCCCAAACTTTCAGCCCTGAGAGCAACAACAATCTGAGAGGTGTAGGCCCTAAGCTTTTCTCATCTTCTGCTTTCAAATCCTCCAAAACCAATTCCCTTCTCTGAAGGGACCTCAGGAACATTTTTGAGGTCTGTATTTTTTTCAGGTATTTTTCTTTTGTTTTCCTCCACTCAAGGAGCACTAAAGCCTGTCTGCATGCAAATTGTTGGACCTTTGCTTTCTCTGTGCTGTGCCTTTGCATTTTGAAAGCATCTGTCTTTTTGTAGCAGACCAGGTAGAAAGAAGGTAAAATGGGGGTGGCAGTGGTTTTGTAAGATGAGCAGTTGGAGTGTGTTAGAGAGGACGCATACAAGAACAGCCACATGCACTCTGTGCTCTGGAAATGGCTTTACCCTTCAGTTTTCTTTTTCTTAATCTAACATTCATTAAGTACACAAAAAGTATATAGTGGTTCCCTGTGTGCAATACAGCATTTCGTTTCAAAGACCAGGAAAGAGAACTCCAGGCAATAGGACAAATCCTACTCTCAGCCACATGAATATGAATCAGTAGCAATCCTGTTGAAACTCGATCCCTACCGATGCAAGTGGAAGCAGAATTTATCCCAGTATCTTTGTGTTGTCTTATTTTTCTGAAGTTAAATGTAAAATTAAAAACAAAGCATTTATAAAAAATACCTGAAATCTGACTAGAATCCCAGAGTAATTCTGTTTTCTCACACTCATTTTACTTCACAATTTTTTAATAGTGGCTATAGCACAGACTGCATCCTTCTCCCACCCTGGATGTTTCCAACATGGCTAGACATGAGCCCAAAACCTGGTAGACAATACTCTTAGTTACTGCAGATCACTCCTGATTGTGCAGCTATCATTTGAAAGTTATATAAGCTCTTTTAGTAATACAACAAGGCATTTCTCACTGTAGGAAGGTTTTGTAAGCTTTTCCCTCCCTTCCCTAAATGACACACACATACACTTCAACTCTGCCACCCTCTAAATTAAGGAAAACTGCTTTATTTTCTTAGAACCCTTATAACACTGCTCTTCCTGGAATGGCTTCCTTCTTAGGCTCCTCATACTTGCAGTCTATGTTTTTAAAAAGATTGAATTTTTATTTCTCCCTCTTCGGAATTGTTTTTCACTTCATTCTTTAAGACTTTCTTTGCTTGATTTCCATTGGGGTTTTGTCTGTCTGGTTATGTTTTATTTTTGCTTTGCCTCAAACCTGATTCTGGATGTTAGTCCAGCTGAAAGATCACTCACTTTCCATGGTTTAGAGGACTTTGTGCAACAGTGCTAAATGTAGTGAGGTATCCAGGAGAACTGAAGGTATAGGTGTATACTCCACAGAAGATATTATTACTACAACATCAAATCACTTTATGTGAACTTTCACTGTAAACAGAGACTCAGAAAGTTCTTTCCTGATTAGAAAGGTAGTAAAAACCAGCACTCTGGTTAAAGGACCCTTCTGGGCTGTAACTGGAACTGAGTGTGTGGCTAGACAGGCCTTTCCAGTATGCCTGTATCAATGGATTTAAGAAGAGGAAATATTAGAACCTGTATTCAGCACAGAGTATAAGGCAGTTAGTTCTACTCCACTCTGGCTGGTCATAGTTAGTACCATTTTTAGTATCATCGTGTGGTAAGTCTGAAATCAGGATTCCATATGTACAAAACTCTAGAGCTGGGTAAAGTGAAAGCTTACTGGATGAAGTTTTACTTCATGCAAATAATGACAGCAGGGAAGGCATGCTCAAGTACCTGTATGGCCACCCTGGCATATATGATAATCAAGAAAAGCAGCAAATGTTCTTAAAGAAATGACAGGCACTGAAGCTCACCTGACTTGGAAGCTTCTAATCATGGTTCCAACACTTTATAGTTATTGTGAAACAAGAAAAAAATGTTGTTAAGGGGAAAGCAGTCCATCTGATTTTGGTGGATTTTTGAGGCCTATTATAAGGAGAGGTAGGTCATATTTTTGTTATATACTGCTTGTTACTGCTTCTTTAAGGTGCTGAGCCAGGTCTACTAAATGTCAGTTAAAAATCTATTTGTCAGAAAGAATGACACACAAACAGGATAAAATAAATAGAAATTATTACCCTTTGGGGCCATGGTTTTTAAACGAAGCAATTCTTGGAGATACATAATTTATAAGGACAATTGTTATAATCTAGTCTCCTCTAAAATTTCATATGAGGCTATATATCTTGTCTGAACTGATTCTTTGTTAAATTACAGGACATATTTTAGGACAACACTTATTTGTGATTGGGACATTTACAGCTGAGGAAAGAAGCCTTGGATTCATTGCAGTTGCTTCTTAGACGAGACTGGCCCAATGTTGCACAAGGTCAAAAAGGCAAGTGGAATGCCAAGAATCATAATGAAAAGGAACAGTGTACAAAAGGAAAATCTCTGTTATAAGTTAATGGCGGACCTTTGACTTTAATTCTCAAACACACTACACAGATCTATACAGGCCATCTCAAAATGAAAAAGAGGAAATATAAAAGGTTCAAAAAAGTATCACACTTTCAATTCTGTAGCTATAGAATCATAAAAAAAGTGCAGTGATTCAGTACTATTTCTCTATAACACAAAGAACTACAAATATACAATAAAATCATTTTGTAATTATGTTTATGCAAAGAAAGTACCTTTTGAGAGAGTATATAACTGAACTGTACCAGTCACTGTCACGGGATTTTTTGGATGCATAAGGTACATTCAAAAAAAGATAAATTCATGGGAAGAAAGCCAATCAAGGGCCATTGAATACAACAATGTGAATATAAGCTTCTGCTTAGCAGCTTCTGAAAAGCATATTATTTCTTTTCACTTTACTTCCTATATTGAAAAAACATCTAGTACCATACTTCTATAAGTGACTTGTAAGTCTGTGATCAAGCCAAAATTTTCTTGAAGTTTCTTACTGCTTCTAGGTC